CGATCGATTTGCCTACCGAAATAATTTCACTGCTTATCAACTATCGCAAGGGGAAACTCCAAAAGTACGAATTTAGAGCTGTTCTTCTTCCGTTTTTGTTCCAACTATCATCTCCGAACGAGTCGAACATACATCGGTAGTCACCCATTGAAACCAATTTGAGCTAGAACTCTTTCTAACGGCTCTTGTCGCTCAACAGAGACTCTGAAGAAAGTGTAATAAATCAAAAGATGGATTTTCGGTAAACCTCGGCATTGAATTTCTAGTTGTATCTTATGCACTGATTATCTCTGTTGAGCTAACGGGACTTGTGATGGCTGACGCTTCAGTGTCTTCGCTAAACGATCTGGCGGCACTTTCTCACCCATGGTCAGATCAAACTCACAGGAAACCTCAGCGAGTTACCTCTGAATAAATGTCTAATCATAAACCAATAGAATAAAACGGATACAATCAATGCATTTGAGAGTCCCTTAGGAGGACTCGGATTAATCCATAACATCGACTGTTTTTAAAACCTCACAACAAACATTCGAAATAACTTCAAAAAAAAAGAATGCCTATAGCTTTCAAAGAAGTTGGTACACCAGGATCATACACCGGTGTTTCGGAGGTCTCGGATGGTACATGTCTGTCATTACATTGTACTTGTACATGCATTGTGTCATGTACACTATGCCATCATCACTTTTCAGTCGATGAATTTCGGCTGGTAGACCGAAATTAATCCATAAGATCGACTGTTTTTAAAACCTCGTGATAAACATTCAAATTGAATTTTCCATTCGAAACACTTTACATTTTTTATTTTACATTTTACAAATTACAAAAACTATCTAAAAATTTGTACAATGCGAGTGTTTGTTACGAGGTTTGCAAACAGTCGATCTTATGGATTAGTTTTGGTCTACCAGTCGAGATCCATCGACTAAACTGTGGTGATGGACCAGTGCCATTGTACACTGTGCCGTCACCACATACGCCTCCTTCCTTGCTACAAGCAGGGCTCTGATGTGTGGCGGGGGTCACTGACGAGGAGGCCGAAACCTCCGAAACACCGGTGTATGGCCCTGGCGTACCAACCTCGCTTAGGCTCTAGACATTTTTTTTGAGATACTGGGATTGTTGCGTGATACAGAGGTGAATGGAGGCTTTTCTGATGCTCTCTCAATTAACTTGGCGATTTGTAAAATTGTAGATGACGCTAATGATTTGGGTATTTTGCAGAATTCTCATTGTGCATAGATGGACAATCATAATGAACTGAAGAGAATTCATGAATACGAGAAAAATAAAAAATTGAAATTTTGGATTTGGAAGAAAAAATTTTTAAAAATCTACTTATCATGAAAACAGTGAAAAAAGTTTAATTGAATAATTAATAGACCAGAGCTTAGTTTCAGAACATTACAGTAAATCCCTAAAACGCTGAATTCTTATGAGCTTGTAAGGTAAATTACGAATTTTGCTTTTTTTTTCGAAGAAAGACAAAAATTAAGAGAATTCGGATAACGTTAAATGCTGTTTTTTGAAACTGAATAGCTTGAAAGTTCTTTGAATAGCAAGCAAATCTGTTTCACACTTTTTCAGCAAACTGATTCCATTGCATTTCTTCTAGTCTTTTGAATTATGGCATAATATCGCTCCCAGATTCATAGCGAACTATTCAAGAAAAAAAATCTACAACTTCAAGACGGAACAAAAATCTGAAGCATAAATGAACGAAAGCAAACAATCCACTAGAGAGTAGTAATTACTCAAAAACAGATGATAATGATTCCAGCGGATTGAAGACTGCAAAACCAAGTCCGGTCTTCAAATCAAGTGGACAGCAACTCTCCCATCTCTAATGACGGTGGGGCGGAGTAGATGGCAATGGTCACGCACGCTACTCCGAGAACTGAACTTTGCTCTCGTCGAACACCATCAATTACCTAGCGCAAGAAAATACAAAAAAAAAACTATCTACTAGCAAAAATCTATAAATTATAAAAGGTAGAGCGCTACGTGGATTTCGGCTTTTACATCATAGTGAGCGGTCGGTTGATTTCCTTTCCTACGTCTGATTCTTATTTCGGCCTAGTATCATCTCCGAGTCAAGAAGTAGGAGCCCGGCCAAGGATCCATTGCCAAAATGCATTCCATGGAAACGACATCGTGAAGACCTGAAAACGCCCTTGCAAGGTTACGTCAGGAATCCATGGATTATCACATTTACGACCAGCAATATACCATTTGGAATACGTGCTATAGTCCGCACAACTGTTGAAGACGGACCATCTGAGTATCTAAGTAAGAGCGCTAGGTTGGTAATGTTGTAGCTAAGTAATACAACGTAAATTCAACTCCATTCGTATCTACCACACGGTGACTGAATGAGCACTTTGCCTACGCAGTGACTTATGGATGCATGTCGATGTGCTAAGTCTGACTTCCCAGACAATTTTGGTCCCAAACTGTGAACAATGGGAGGACGGAAGACGTGATTAGCTCGGGATACCAGATCCAAGAAGAAATCACGTATGCCTTACAGGACATCTTAATAATCCATAAAATTGACTGTTTATAAAAATTCGCAATAAACATTCAAAATGATTCCAAAAGATAGAATATCTAAAGCCTAAACAAGGTTGGTACGCCAGAGTCATACACCGGTGTTTCGGAGGTTTCGGCCTCCTCGTCAGTGACTCCCGCCCCAAATTATTGCGAGGTTTTGAAAACAGTCGATCTTATAGATCAATTTTGATCTAACAGGCGAAATCCATCGACTGAACAGTGGTGATGGACCAGTGTCATTGTACACTATGCCATCACCACATACGCCTCCCTCCTTGCTACAATGCATGGCTCAATATGGGGCGGGGGTCATTGACGAGGAGGCCGAAACCTCCGAAACACCGGTGTATGGCCCTGGCGTACCAACCTCGTTTAGGCTTTTTCTTTTTGGACATCTTTATACTAAAAATATCTGGATTCGCATCAAAATGAGCTAATTCTAATAAAACCAAGAGGTGAAGTGACACAGTATTTGGTAATTCAATGTATTGAGAACAAACTAGTTGAGAGAGGCTCTGGTTCAATGCTCTACCAACACGTTCTTTCGAACAATCAAGTGGTATTGCCTTAGCTCAGTTACATCCAAGTTTGCAAAAGTATGGTCTCTTCCATTATCCTACGATATTCGTAAATTCAAAATTCCGAGGCAGCAGCCAAAGCAACACGTGAAAATTTCGAAGCTTCTTGTCGAGGATGAATGCGAGAAATTGAAGCGAATGCAAGAAGTGCTGAGATCACCGCAGTAAATTGTGACGGTTCCTGTAGAAAGAAATAAATAAAGAAGTGAAGTATAATCAGTTAGACTCCTGATTAATTTAACTATGTCTATCAAATGGAAAGAGATGAATGTTCATAATCATTTCTTCTGAAAATCGGAAGAACCTATGTTACAAACAAAGATCTCAAATGCTTGATGTTAAAAAATGTCGTTTTTTTTCTGATCGCTTTCGTCCACTAATATCTCTTCTAAAAACCTCTTTTTTTTAAGATATTTGGATTTACCAACGTGACCTGATGATGAAAGCTAGTTTCTGAGAATGATCTGACACAATTATTTATTGGATTCAACACGGAACTTCAAACAAGCCGACAACTGGCGACTGCCAGCCAAAAAGCAGTAAGATATCCATCTCCCATGATATTTCTGCTCATCGATTGCGGATTGAATGATCAGATGGCTTTTATTCAAATTCCATAGTAGATATATCATATTTTTCCCCGCAGAAGCTTTGATAAAAAATTAGTTCTTAAGATACATTTTTTATCTGAAAGCTTACTTCAAAGCTGAATATTAGCTGCGTAACGCTAAGCGCATGCAAGCAACTATTCCGAAATATCAAGCCGCAAGCGTGATATCATTGAAAAAAAAAGTTCTTTCCATCACAGCTCATGGCCTTTAGCATGACAGATGGACTGACACCTTCTTATTCAAGACACATTGGTTTCTCAGAGTATTTTAATGATAACTAGTAACATTAAGCCTTCAGTATGATTAAAATTGTCATATATTCACTGATTATTCGAGAAAACAAAAAAAGTAATTAACCGATATCCATTAATAATCTCACAGACCACCCAAGAAACTGTATCCTTTTGCACAGTTTGTGATTTTTCAGATTATTCAGTATGGTTTTAATCATGCGTACAAAAAATGTGGTCAGGATAATTGAGTAGAAAGTTATTTTGAAAATCGACTTTCCTTCAACCTCGGCACTGACAATCATTCATATTTCCTTTATTGACCGGTAACGCGAGGTTGTTGATATAAATTATTATTCCATTAACGATTCCACGTCTTCGTTTTCTTCAGAGCCGATGATTCGAGTCGGTTGTCTACAGTCGTTCGTTCTCCGAGGAAGATGAAAACGTGGAAATGAAAATTTTCATCAAAAGCACCTCAGAACAAGCTTAGTTATCAGAATAGAAATTTAAAATGTTACTACTGTAGTGTTTGAATAGGGTAAATTTTCGTCAATTTTGACAAGCTGCTTACTGACACAGTTAGCACTTTTTTAACCAAAAAAATGACCTGTATTGTGTTCAATGCTTTCTGATTTATGTAGTAAAATTGCACGGATCTCATTTCATTGAAGGATCTCGAGACGATTAGTGTCGCTTTCTACAGAGGCGGCGAAAGAGCTATATATGAATCATAAATCATCCTGTACTTATGACTAGACTTAGACGAGTCCTCTCATCTGACCTCGCTAGACGATCGAAGACCACGGTCTCTGCGTTAGTATCGAGGTAACGTAAGCACAACACGTGATGGGCCCAACTCAAATATGCGTGGATGTCGCGTGATTCAACGCCTAATTTCATTTCATCTACACAATTTGTGCTACTCGCTCGGGTTAAAACGCCGCTAATGAATGACATCGCTGATTGTTTTCTATAATAAAAACAACCAATCACAGAAAGAGCGATAACAGAACAGGAGCCCCTATAGCGCAGTGGTTAGCACGCACCCCCGGAAAGGGTGAAATTCGGGTTCAACACCCGCACGAGATCATGGTTCATCACATCAATGAACATTCTTAGGGCTTATAGTTATATACAACATCATAACACAACTAAGACGTGGTGAACATAGAAAGGAAATTTTGAGATTGCATATACAGAACAGCTATCAGCTTGACTTAATGCCGATAGATACAATCTTTATATTGGTTCTGGCGATTTACTCGCCCTTAAACGCCACGCGGGTCTTAGGAATGTTGTTGTCCGTTCCTCTGCGGATACGGGATTAAGTGAATAATTTATCCACTAACAACAATAATATTAATAATATTCCAAAGAGCGGTTGGTGATATACGACTATAAGTGTCCGGTGTAAGTACAACGAAATAATTCGTCTAAGACGAACAACCTAAGAGAACAAATGTTACAATAACGATAGTAAACAATATGTACAAATTCCTGACGCCACATAGATTACGTAACAGGAAACTATGTCTTCTCATGTGCCCAGAGACTGAGATTCGGCAATTATATTCAAGAGCAATGATAAGATAATGAGCGAGTGATTGAAGCAACAAGATAGCAGGATCACTAAACGCTGAGTCAGTAACAAGGAGGAAGGAACTACAGATACACGACCTCACAAAATTAGGAGAGTAGCGAGGGTGACGGATGGACCTGAGGACACCGATATCGATGCTGGGTCATCGTTCCCGAACTTTTCAAAAGTACTATATCGGATATGGGGCACGATCACCTTATATGGAACATGGATGTTTTGGATGTTTCATGTGGTCTTCGTGAAGTTCACCAAGGGAGCGAACAGTGGGTTGTTGACATTGAAGGTTAGAGAAACTATGTACAAAGGGGGGTGATCAGATGTAAGACTGCGCGCTTTATCCCCGGTGGCGAATCCCACATGATTTGTTGTAAAGTTCCAGCACCTGGTGGTCCTCTGCACTCGCTTTCAGCACAGAGCGCAACTTGGTGATCACCCATTTCTCGGTGCCGATGTTGCAATGATATCAAATGGTATCAAAGGCAACAATCTACATTTGATAACTGTAGCTCCTCGTAGGTCTTCTCCGTGGCGCGGTCAAGGAGAACTCAACTCCAACCTCCGTACCGTGAGCCCTATACGATCACGTTGAATAGCACAGTAGCCATAGGCTAAAAGGTATAAAATAGCAACAAAGCCTTGCGGGAGTTGCTATAATCTTATTTAATCTCGAAAATCCTCTACGGATTTTCTAGCTCACGGTCTTATAGCGATACATCCATTTATGCTGAGTGGTTTTCAAAATCGCGAACCTCAACTGTGAGATGATCTCTGGGAGGTGGAACTGGAATAGGAACAGAGAAGGTGAAATTGGCCAGACGTAGGGACATTAAAGGTGGGCAAAACATAATAAATAGTAATAGATGCTTTGATCTAATGCATTGGGAACCGTAGGTCAAACATCTGCGTGGAGCGCGATTTTCGTGATTTAATTGGAGCCTTACTTCGTTTTCAAAAGATTTGATTACGTGTTTCGTATTTAATTGATACTCTACATCTTACACTACTCTGCCATAAGCTTTTGGTGCTTGTAAAACTCCTGTGGTCAAGAAAAATCGATTCTTGTCCATTGTAAGGCGACAAACGAATAATTGACCTCATGAGAGCGTTAGTAATCATTCGAAAGCTTGAATCTCTGGCAAGCGCCTTACGTGGCCGGTTTTTTCAAAAAGCCCCTATTACAACGCTGTAAAATTCGAAATAAGGAATTATATTTTACGCAATTCAACTATTATATAGCTGGATGCATCCCTGACTAACCAGTCTACTGCGAAGCTAATGCTCTGTTATCACCCTTTCTGCGATATGAGGCATCGAAATCGTGAGAGATCAATCAAAGACCTTTATGAGGGCCTCGACAGTGTAGTGGCTGGCACGCACCAGCGGTAAGAATAGAACCCCGGTTCACCTCCCAGCTGAGGTTCTCAGTCTGCATATCACTCAGCTTACTGAGATTTAGCAGTTGTATTTCCGTGTTAAACGTTGTATTACATCATTCATAATGACAAAGCTCTCTAAGTTGACCAATCCCTAAGGGGATTGCCATGCATTCGATTCCATCCGTAGCACCGCTTGAGGCGATTGAATGCACACCTGGCAGACCTATTCCCCCGTGAAAGGAGGATCGAACCACAAACCACGTGTGCCTCGCAGCGCACCGCTAACCAGTGCGCCATGCCTTATCTCGCCCCACCGCAACAATGTTAGATGTTTTTGTGGTTATGAGATATGGCTTCGCATCAAAGCAGCAGATTAGCATTAGAGCAACTTTTTCGCCGTTCCCATAACGCATTATCGATCGGACCTTGTTCTATCGCGATTTCCTTGCTTGTTTTTTTAGACGATGTCTCGTGGGGATTCCTTTTTTGAAAATGTTCTACTTAAATGCGCTTAGAGAACCTCTTCATTGGCTACAAAGCTCTACTAAAATCTCACATTCTGAGCTTAGCTGGGGAGTGCCCGTTGAAGCAAGCGATATTCTATTGTTGATCTACCGTGCAGTAAAACCATTTCGATTTTTCTTTTTATTTTTATGTGTTTTTTTTTTACTTTGACTTTGGTTAGAACCGTCTGAAAGCCTTCATAATGGCCATAGCCAGATGTGGTGTGAATGATGAGACAAGAAAAAAACGCTTAAAAATGTAAAAATACCTTAACATGACATCTTGCTGTTATTCTTTCGCCTAGTAATATCATGTGAAAGTTTTTTTTTTCATTTTCAGGTTTATAGTAGGCGTAACTTTCACAGCAAATCTGGCTATGGCCGTCACCCTACGGGGCTGTGGAAACAACGGCCCTCCGTCTCTAACCCCCCAGAGTGCTGTGTCTAACAATGGCGGATGCCGTAAGACGCAATACGTTGGACGTTAGAGACGCATAGACCATGGGTCCACGGTCGCGTAAGGGTTATGAAGGCAATCCTACGGGGTCTAACCAAAGTCATCTTCTCACGGTACATTATCCTTTCTGTTCTTTTCCTCCTACCTTCCTTCTTGTTATCTAAATTTTTTAAAATGTATCATAACTTTCGTTTCGAGTGTTTTCTTAAGACCACAGCTCAAAATTCAATATGCCTTGCAATCATTATTTGAGCCACGCATGTCAGTGGTCTGTTAAAGGAGGGCTGACTTATAGAACCCGATACACGTGTTTCGATCTTGCGATCTCGTCAGTCGGGCAGTTACCCTTTCTCGTCTTTTGCTAATCTCTATGGGTGCCCCACGACTGACGAGATCGTAAGGTCGAAACGCGTGTATCGGGCGCTATAAGTCAGCCCTCATTGACAGACCACTGACATGCGTGGCTCAAAAATAATTACAAGGCATATTTTCTAATTATATTTTAGCAGCCGCTATTATTTAACCTCTATGTAGGCAATCAATGTATCCTTTGGCGATTCAGCTCAGGAGCCATGCGCAGTAATTAGAGGTGCTCTGCGTCACGCACAACGTCGATGGATCGATCTCGCGCCCACGGCTCGTAAGGTCTTCCATCCCTCCATTATTGATGAGGTGGTACCAGACTTGTCTGAGAGGATAACGAGCACTGACTCAATACATCGGTAGGCCACCGCGAGTCATTGTGAAGGCAGGACAAGGATTCAGTCACCTCAAACGAGGTCAACTCTCTGGACTATGGACGCACCTCCCCTGCATCTCTAACCCCCAGCGTGGAACTCATTGATTGTATCATTGCATTGTTCCAGTGCTGTTGCTTTTTTCTATGTTATGATTTATGTAAATATATCATGTTGTTATAAGTAAGAAAATAACAAAAATGATGGGATTGGAATATGCATTCCCACGCTGGGGTTAGAGATACATTGGAGGTGGGGCAGGTCGTCCAGCATTGCCGCGTTGCAGGTTAGAGAAGCAGAGAGGTGGGTCCATGGTTCCGAAATGGTAAAAATTGAAGACGAATGCATGACACATCTCTCAGGGGTTCATCAACGCCTAGAGCTTTTATTTTAGCTTCTGTGGCGGCTTACACGGGATAGGTCACAGGGCTTACCGGCCAAGGTTTCGACCTCTTCGTCGTTATTAATCAATAGAATCATTCGACTCTGAGGAAGAAAAATCTCTGATCGTCAGCAGAGTAAAGCATCTTACTAACCCCCGTATATGCTGTGAAATCTTCGAGGAATTCATTAACTGTCGCAGAGATTTCGAGCTCATGACACTCGTTCATTATGATATCGATCGATATCGATCGTATAGATCGCAAGACCATGCCTTTTTTCATATGATCGGGTATTTTCGTTGTTACACGATGTCGTCTGATCATATTTCGTATTGATTTTCCTTGAAGAATCTCACATTACCACTTTCAGTTCAGCCGCGTAATATGTAATATGGCCGGCTGCCCGACGATTACCCTCCTAGCCTATGTTGCCGTACTACAGCCGGCGGCTGCTCAAGTCCTTCAAGCTCGTGTTGGTGTTGGCGTCGACCGTCTCCGTTCTCCTCTTCTATCGGCTTCTACTCCAGTCTGATATCGCTCTACGTCGCTATCCTCCACAAAGGTTACCTTCCTATGAATGTCCTTGCAACCACTCAATCATCCGTGAGAGGAGTTTGTCATTTGACTCACGAAATCTGACGGAACATCGCGCGTTATTACTGGTAGAAAGCTCGTCTTCACGTCATGGTCGCCTGCTTCAGCAGATTCTTATCGCTTCAAAATATCCATTCAAGATGGAGACGTTCATGAAGAACTTACCACCACTCACGACGACGACTTCGCGAGGTCGCTATGCCGTTATCATCATCGAGAATTACTACAAATATCTCAATATGGCGAAGTCGAGTCGAGAGTTGCTCGATAAGTATTGCGTCGATTACAAAGTACCTCTAGTATCGTTTCTGTTTACAAGACCGAATATTACATATAGAAAAGTGCAAATCAAAGGTTCATTGCTGTATTTCTGGCAAAATCAAGAGATTTCCTCTCTGAAGGTAGCCGACTCTGCTATTCATCGGATCTCCCGTATCGGAG